CCTGCTAGGAAGAAGCATCTATCTTTGGCTGAGAGTAGAAGTTATAGTCAGGAGTGGTCCTGCCAGATCCCCAGAGAAGGAGATATCTGGGTTTGGGTTGGGATGATAGACTATGACTCTACAGTGCCATGTTATTTTATGTCCTTTCCTAATTTACTCCTTATCTTTCCCTTCTTCCCTATTACCTCCCATCGAAGTGGACCAAGGAGATCAACACTTGTCTCTGCCAGGTGAGTGAGAGGTAGGGGAAGGTGAAGGGGAAAACCATTATGCCAGAAGCAGAGCTAGAAGAAAACTCGTATTGAGGGCAAAAAGAAACCAAGGCCCAGAGAGGGAAAGGGACTTGTTGCCCAACACATGCCAGAGTTGGAATAGGATCCCAATCTCTCAAGTTCTAGTTTCTTGTTTCTTTCATTATATTGTCTTTTACTAAATGAGATGATTTATGTAAAACACTTTGCAGGGCAGTATATACATTTCTTGTTCTTGTTCTTGTTCTTCCTCCTCTTCCTCTTCCTCCTCCTCCTCCTCCTCCTTATCCTTCTTCTTCTTCTTCTTTTTCTTCTTCTTCTTCTTCTTTTTTTTCTTCTTCTTCTTCACCAGAGAGCTCATGGGGAGAGAAAAGAAGGGGCATGGGGAAGAGGAATGATTTCTCTGATTACATTTCCTTAGATTCTTAGTTTTTGTTTTTTTTTAACCCAGCAATATCTTATCTCTCATCACTTTTTTCCTCCAACCCCTAGACAACAACCACAGTGCTGATTTCTTTTTTTGAGGTAAGATGATTGGGGGGAAGGGAGCATTTGTGGGTCAAAGGATATGTGCTGCTGGCTTAGAAGATTAATTCATAGAAGAATAAATCTGAAATGGGCAGGCATGGTGAGGTTCTAAGGAGTTCCTCCTAATAGTTAGTGGCTGACTTAATTTTATTCCTTTCTCTTGCCTTTCAGACACACTGACAGAAGCTCAAGGGTCAATAGAGCCAGGTTTCCCCCCCCACTGGTCCTTGGCCTAGCTGGTCTTGTTCTGACCCCAACTTGTTTCCTTCCCATCCCCCATACTGAGCTGCTGTTTCATTCCCTTTGACTGAGGAGTCTGTGGGATTGAAGGGCAAGGAGTACACCAGCCTAGGCATTCTTTCCCAGATCAATGTATCTGTTCCTTTCCATTCCTTGCCACACAATGAATCTGAGTCAGCTTCTTCTCCCTGAGAGGTTGACTCTAAAGCTTGATGGAGGAAAGAATGTTCTCTTTCAAGAAGTTGTAAGATAAAATCTCTCTGCTGCCTCTTCTCAACCTTCACTTCATTGGTTTTTTCATCATTTGTGTTGGGATGTTCTGACTTTTTGTACTGTAATAGAACTTTGCAAGAGAAATTTCTGAGGTCAAGTTTGACTTGTCTTTCCAACTTTTGTGGGGATCCCAGAACAGAGGAGCAAGAGACCGAGGGTTCTGGCTCTAGTGGACTGAAATCCTCCTATGTCCTGATGCCTCCTGAAAGATCCAGAACACCCACCTAGGAGAACCCCCTAAACTTTGGGGGAGATGGCTCTCCACCCCAGGTTTGGTATGATCTATGGAGAAGGGACATCTGGGACTTCACTTTAGTGTTTCTTGAGAGTACTGTATTCCTAGGGTTACTTTCTCTTCATATCCCTCCAACAGTCCAGAGATCTGGGTTACTTCCCTTTTTCTTTAGCTATGGGAACGTCAAAGATTTGGATCACAATCCATCCATTTGGGCCATTGCCTATGCCCTCCTTTAAGATTTCCCAACAGTGGACAGAGGGTCCACTCAACTTTTTTGGGGGGGGGTAGTTGTTATTTTAGAGGTCTCAATGATGTATAGACCCCAATGGAGCACACACAAGGATCTAGCTGTCCCTCATGAATATTGGTACCCATGTACCCTCTTCCAGATACAGTAATGTGATGAATTAAGAAGGCATCAGTTGTCATCCGAAAAGGTGAAGGATTTGTGGGAGAGAGGTGGCTTCTGGAAATATTGGAGAATGGGGATATAGGGACATATAGGCAAATGTGTCCATCGGGGACTTCTACTCTCTGAGCAGAGAAGCACATGGCACAGTGATATGTGGTGAACATAGAGTCAGAAGACGTGGGCCTCTTGTCCTGGCTCAACTACTTACTGGCTTATTACTGGACCAGCCAATTAACCTCTCTGTGCTTCAGTTTTCTATTCTGAGGCTAACACTGCTTGCTCTTGCTACCAAAGACACTTTTTGTGAGGCTCAAATGCAACTACGCATAAAGTGATTTTAGCATAATACACTTGTGAGTATATATAGTCTAGGGTGAAGAATCCCAGCCTGCTAGGCTAGAAGTCATGTCACAGAAGTTCTCCGTCCCATGCCCAATCTCATTTTCTTTCATCTGTGAAAATTCTAAGATTCCTTCCAAGTCCTATCATAATTATGTAATTGATTATTGTAAACTTCTAGGGGCAGAGAGTTGAATATTTTCTGTTATAAAGGTGAGGTCTTGACTGAGACCTGATCTCCTCACCATGGGGTCCCCCTCCCTTCCCTTTCCTTCTCTACTGGAAGACTGATCTGCAGACTGCAGGACTGATGCATGACAAAGGGGTTTAGATGGCTGAGGGTGAAAGGGAGGTGAGGATGGCTGGGGAGGGGCCCCAGCTCCTTCCCCTGCTAGGATTCTTCAACTAACCTCTTTCCCTCATACATTCATCCTAGGACCTATAGGGGAAGGGAAAGGTGAGGTGAATATGACTCCATCTTCATAACTCCCCTAATAACCTCCAGAGGCATGTTACATCCTAATCTTCATCCCAATAGTAGCTAAACACTTCACTAAAACAGGATTTAGGGATAGAGCTGCACACATGTATAAGTTTGTAATTAGAGGAGACAGCCAGGTGTGTGCACATGTATTGGGGAGAAAGGAGGCTGCATAACCAGGGAAATACCTGTCTGTATACAAACCAGGGACCCATGTGGCTCACACCCAGAGAGATATTCATGAGCTTATGCACCATGAAGGGACACATAAGAGACCTTTCCAAGTACCCAGAAACAAATGCAGAGACACAAACAAGAAGACACTGACAGGAGACTCTGATACCCTCCAGGTAATAGAAGTTCCCACAGGCCAACCTATAACCCCAGACAGACACAGGGGAGACACAAATACACAAGTGCCAGAGATTCATGGATTCCCCAACACCCAGGGAGAAGCAAATACAAGAGCCAAGGTACAACCTAGAGTCTGATCAGCAATACAGGTCTTTAGTGGAAAAAAGCAGGTCTTTCCTCAGCAAAATAAAAAAAAAATTAATGTCTTGCCTATGATAGATAATAAGTATTTTACTTGAAAATTTGAATTTTGAAGTTAATTGTCCTCAATTTGACAATTTGCAGTCCCCCCCCCCCATTTTTTCTTCTCCAGGCCCAAAACTCATTCGCACAAAAGTGTAAATGACCCATAATGGTTTAATAATGTGCGATCTCTCCTTGAGGAGTTAACCCAGGCTTGTGCCAAAGGAATTACATTCTAAGTGTGGATTCTATCTGGTGGAATATTTGAGGAGGGAGGGAAGTTACTTTCCAATGACTAAAAATGTCAACTTTTCTTTTTGAGCTTCAGTAAAAGCTATCACCTACAAAGCACATCAAGAACCTTAGGTGAAATTTCATGAAAGAGGAATTTGACATGCATAGATGAAAGAAGCCAGAGACCCTTATGGAGAGATGAGGCATCCTATATCCCTGGCCCCTGAACTTCTTAATTACCTGGCAAACAAACAAAAACCAAATCAGCTTGTCCCTGGAGTAGAAGAATATTAAACTGACCTATCCAACAGCTAAGGATGTCCTTTTAACGGAAAAAGAATAAGAAACAAAAGGAGAAGGACTCTGGGTTCTCTGAAATGGAAGAGGTGGAGAGAAAGGGCAAAAAGAATTTCTAAGAGGAGAGGGTTTGGACCCTTAGGTATCTGGGGGGTGGGGAGAAAAGCCAGAGAAGTGGGAGAGAGCTGGACAATTGTGTCTGTGTCCTGGAGGGAGATTCAGGGTATGGGGGCAGTGGAAGCTGGGGGGCAGGAAGCTGGCCCCAGGGGAGCCATCAGGACTCATTGAAGGGCTGAGCACTTGTTTAGGGTTAGAGCTGCCTCCTCAGGGGATCGGGGATTTGTCCAGCCAAAGCTATTGTCCTCCCTTCCCCCACCCCTTCCCCAGCCAGCCCCTTTGAACCTGACTCCGGAGATTCCCTCCCTCCCCCCCAATAGCCTGGGGCTGGATATCTGGACTAGAGAGGTAAAGAAGGCGGAACTGGGGTGGGGTGTCAGACATTTGGGTCCCTGAGGGGTAGAGCAGACTGGGACGCATTTGGCTGGGTATCTGAGGGGAACTGGATGAGGATCTCTGAGCCCCAGAGGAGCTGATGCCCATGCTCTGTCCCTGAGTAGAGGATTGGGGATGAGAGGAATGGAGTGACATCTAGGGTACTGAGAGAAGGTGACATTTGGGGGAGGGCAGTCCCATGGCTAGGGAGCAGGTAGATATTTAATCCATGAATTAACTAGAAGATACCTACTTGCGTGGGTGCCTGAGAGGTAGTCAGTTAATGGGGGAACCTGGGTCCCTGAATTAAGGTTGTGGTTACTGGGCAAACGAAGTCTGGCTTTTTGAGCGCATCTCTGAAGAAGAGAAACAACTGTGTGGGGTTGGAAGGGGACAAGATACAGTTCAGATGAAATATTGATCGAAAAGAAGAGAAACACGAAGAAAATCTATTGGGGAGACCCTAATGAATGAATAGGAAGGCAACTGAGCTGTGTAGCTGACCTTAGAGGCTGACTCCGCTCCTGCCTCAGTTTCTCCCCCTCCCCCTACCTGGGGCGGGGGCAAGGGCGGAGCCAGAGGTCAAGGCCGGGGTGGGTGGGATTGTGAAGGGAGGGGTTGGATTGTCCCCTTTGCTCTCAGTCCTTAAAACCCCTGGTCGGGGTGCCCTGCTTCCGCATGGCCGGACACCTGGCTCCTGAATATTTCTCGCCACCCCCAGGCGGTGGCGGGGCCGGAGGGTCAGAGCCTACGTGGAATTGGCCCGGCTTTCAAGGCCCACCCGGTGGGGCTGGAACAGGGCCGGGACCCGACGGGTGGGGAATGGCCCCGTACCACCCCTTGTACGATATGTGGGGAGGGGGTGTCTACTGTGAACCTCAGCCCAATGTGGGAGTGATGGCTCAGCCTGCTCAGGAGATCGCAGTCCCCGACGGCGATGCAGGACCCGGGGTAGAGAGCCCTTCCGAAGGCAGTTCCCCAGAGCCCCGCGCCACTGGTCGAGTCACCAAGATTGAGCCGGTGGAGAGTGGAGACGAGGTGAGACTGGTGATGAGGAAAGATAGGATGCAGAGATCCCCGAGGGGACTGAAGGTCTAGGAGCTTAGCTATCTGGGTGAGGTCTGGGCAGGAGGAGTTCGGGGACACCTGAGATCAAAAGGCCAGAAAGGAACCCATCATCTGGCATCTGGAAAAGGAGCTCCGGGCGTGGACGTGGGGGGTCCTGAAAAATACTAAACTGGGAAGTGGGGAGGTAGAATAAGATTCCAAAGTCTTTAGAGGAACTTAGAAGGCCCTCTAGACTAGAAGGGACTAGAAGGAAACTTGGGACAAGATACCTGAAGCTAGAGGCGGGGAGGAAGGAAAGATGAGTGCTGGATGGCTGGAGGGATCCTGATGCCTGTGTACTCTTTGATTAGACTGTTTCTCTCACTTTGTGGGTCCATCCGGATGTTCTATGGCCCCTTTTTAGTTTGTACACAGATAATTGTGTTTCTCTCCTACTACCCTACCTCATCCCCTATCCCTTATCCCCTCTCACTTCTCTCTGCAGTCTACTGCAGAGACTGGGTTGGGTGGTGGTGTATCACGGTTTGTGGCCTCAGGCTTAACAATTTTATCTGGTCAGATTAATAGAGCACCCATTCTCCTAAGGTATTGTTCCCTGGAAATGGTGGGTGGGACTGTCCGGTATCTTATTTTGGGTGGAGAATCTAGATCTCTGAGGTTGGTGTGGATACTAATTTTGGGGAGAGTCTGTCGCTGGACATGAAATGTAGTTGAGTGACTGCGGAGGACTTTTGTTTCTGGGAGGTGTTGATAGATGGAAAACTGGCTCTGCCATCATTACTGTCTTTGAAAATTGTTTAACTTCTGAGTATCAGTTTCCTTATCTGTAAAACAAGTGCTTTGAAATAAATGATTTCTAAAGCCACTTTCAGCTCTTGGGATCGTATGAAATCTGCAATCCAAACATTCATGAATTTACCAACTATGGGTTCCTTCAACTTGGGGGGGGGGGGCTGCAAATGTTGAACAAATGTGATTGAGATCCTACTGAGCCAAGCACTTGGAAATAGGAGGATGGAATTAAGCATAATGTGTCCTCAAGCATACAGTTACCTCCATTGGTGGGTGAGACCAGGATGGATATGAAATGAAAGACATAGGTATTAAGTTCAGATAAGGTGCTGTGAGAAATTTTGAAAGGGAACAGGAAGTGCATAATAGAGAAGGTGGGACTTACTTGATGGGGACTAGTTAGGCCTTGAAGGAAGGGAAGAATTTCTTAAGGCAGAGAAGTTTGGGTGAATTCATTCCAGATATGCAAGAAACTAGGAGACAACTAAGTATTCCAGTTTGGCTGGAATGTGGAGGGGTGGGGATGAGACTCCTGACTGAAGTTAGGAGTGAGGGTCCTTGAGTGCCAGGATAAGGAATATATATTGCATTGAATAGACAATAGGGGAGTCTCTGAGGGCTTTGGAACAATGGAGTAACCTGATGAGAGCTGACTGGATTATTTTGACAGAAACTGTGAATGATGAACTGACTTCTAGATGAAGAAGTCAGGGAAGAATGAAGGTGCTCACCTGGGTAGTGGAGTGGGGGTAGAGAGAAGACTGGACAGAGAATACAAAGGACATTCCCTGCTCTCAAGGAATCTGCCATCTAGTTGGAGAGACCAAGTCTAGTCATTTAAAGCAATAAAGCCAAGTTTATAGGACTATTTTGTACCTGCAAAGGATTTTGGAGAGAAGGAAGCTGGAGAGGGTTTCATGGAGTTAGGTTAGAGCTGACCTAGGCTTTACCAAAGATTTGGATGGGGGAGGGTTGAGGCATCCTTGCTGAAATAGCTGAGCAAGATATCAAAGAAGTTAATGTGATGTGTATAAAAGAGGGATGGCGCACTGGAGTGGTGGGAAATGTGGTTGGGTAGGTAGATAGGGTTGTGGAAAATTTTAAAAATGCCCAGCCAAGGACTTGGTGTTACATATATAGAAAGTGGGTGAGGAGGGATGTATGTATGTATGTAGAATAGTAATGATGAGAATGCTGTTTTAGGAAAATTATTCTGGCCTCAGCATGCAAGACCGGTTGTAGAAGGATGAAGGCTTGGAACTAGTTAATGTTGTCATTATTATTCTATGTTGCATATGTAATATGATGCATAATAGGTAATAATTATTATTGCAACTTGGCTGAAAAGTTTCATCTTGGTCACTCTTCCCTAGGTCCAAATTCCTTTCTCATTACTCATCCTATCCTTCCTGTCTTAAAGGACAAGGAAGGAGATGTCTTCCCCAGGGTTGACACCCCACACAAACCTTAGTATTTGATCACTATCTCCCATGTTTCCAGGGTCATTCCTTCTGGCATTTTCAATCTCCACCTTTGCACTTGCTTCTTCCTTTCTACCTACAAAGTTATCAGATCTTCTCTTGCCTATAAACAGTGCTTCATAGGTTCACTATCTACACTAAGGCTCTTCACTAAAACACATTGCATGCTGGCCATTCCACCCCAACAAGCTGTTTTCTGGTCATTCTATTGAAATAAGATTCTCCAGTTATCAATAACTTCTTGAATGCCTGTCTTTCCTCCTCATCCTTCTTAACAAGCTTTGTTTTTGTCTTGTATCCTCAGTACAGTACATTAATAAATATTTGTTGAATTGAACTCAACCTGGCAGCTAGGTGGCAGTAGTGGAGTGCCAGGCACCGAGTCTGGAAGACCAGCCCGGAAGAGCAGACCGTTTATTTTCTGAGTGGCCTTACTTAACCTCTGTCTGCCTGAAATATAAAGAAATACTGGTCTGCTCCCAGCTTTTCAACTGTCACCTGGGTGACTTCAAACATTTTCATTCGCCAGTCATGTTCTCACATCTCAACTTTGTTTTAATATCTAATTGCCTATGGGACATTTTTTCCCCCAATGTTCCCTCTGGTGCTTTGAATTGCTGCATGTCAAAAATAGAACATATCCTTTTTTTTCCTATCCCCAGACTATTCTTCTTTATATGACTTCCCAAGTTGTGTTAATGGTACCGCTATTCCCTCTCTTTCACTTCCTTACATCCAGGCACCATGTCTGGAATTGTTCTATTTCAGCTATTAGGGCCCAAGGATAGACCCTATTTAGCTTTCATCTGGACTGTTGCCTGATCTTCTCACCTCCAGTTTGCTTCAACAAATCTTCCTTGTTCCCCTCCTGTGTATCTGGCTCTAACCTGCCTTTCCAGTCTCACTCTTACTCCATTCCAGCTAAACTGGACTATTTTCTGTTCCAAAATGGTCCCAGTTCTTTTTCATTTCTATGCTTTTTGTTTGAATCTTTTTTTCTCTTCTGCCTGGAATTTTCTCTGCCATGTTTACATGTTGAATGGATGGAGAAAAAGCAACCTGGTACAGCAGAGAGCAGGATGCTGGATTTGGAGTCAGAAGACCTGGGTTGGATCTCACCTCCCGGACACTAACTTTGTGAGGGTCCCCTCACACCTCTGGGCCTTGGTTCCTTGTTTGTAAAATGAGGGGAGTTGGCCTAGATGATTTCTCAGGTTCCTCTCAGCTCAAAATCTGTGATTCTGTGATCTTTCAAACCTTTCCCTAATTCTCTTTCCCACTTCCAAGATAGGGAAAAAATAGTCTTCATCCTCTGAACTTCCAAAGTATTCAGTAAGCACTCTTCGCACTTAAATCCTTTTATCTGTATATTGCGCTTCCCTTAGGTTGTATTCCTTAAGGACAGATGTTGTGTTATTTGATCTTCCTGTCCCCAATAACACATAGTTATCAATAAAATGATATGAAATAAATAAATAAATGAATAAGCAGAATTTGGTGACAGATGGGATATTAACCCAGGTGTTTTTTACATAATAGGCATTTAATAAGTGTTGAGTGAATGCATATAGGTGATTTAAAAAAGTGGTTTCCCCATGAGTTTCAGATCTGGGGTGAGTGCTACCTCCTATTTGCTTGTGTTTTTCTTTTTTTATCTGTTCTTCTGAAATCCCCTGTTCATGCTTCCACAGCAGCCCCAGGAGACCCCTTCCCCAGAGGAACTGGAGCAGTTTGCCAAGGAGTTAAAGCGGAAGAGGATCACTCTGGGTTATACCCAGGCTGATGTGGGCATCACCTTGGGGGCTCTCTTTGGTGGGTCCTTTTCTATACATTTCACCCAGAGGACTTCTTTCTCCACTGCCTCATTTGTGACCAGGGACAGAACTTCCTGGATCCATCCCTACCTTAGGTGGGGGGAGCTAGATTCTGGGGGTCCTAAAGGAGGGGGGAGGACAGGTCTGGGGGGAGTTATGGGACTGTGCGCCTTCTCTCTGAAGCCTTGAAAGAACTAGGAACTGGACAGACAGGTGGGGGAAATAAGAATTTGGGGTCTACAGTGAAGGTAGAAATAAGAGGGTTGGACACCAGAATCCCTGAGGGTATTAGGGGGCCTTAGGCCTACCTTCATTATAGTGCTCCCCCAGCACCAATTTATCCTTCCCCAAACTCCAGGCAAGGTTTTTAGCCAGACCACCATCTGTCGCTTTGAGGCACTGCAGCTCAGCTTCAAGAACATGTGTAAGCTCCGGCCTTTGCTACAGAAGTGGCTAGAAGCTGCAGATGACAATGACCACCTTCAGGAGGTACGGGGCAGAACTGAGGGGTGGTGGGGTGGTGGTGGAGGTGACATAAGCCTGAAGAATAGTGGATCATTTCTCTTTTAACTCATTAATATAGTGCTTAAAGGTTTATACACCTCTTTCCTCACAAAGCAACCCTGTGAAGTGGGTAGTGCCAATATTATTCCCATTTCACAGACAAGAAAGACAATGGCTTGGAGACTTGTTTACAGGCACTGTAGTAAGTGTCCTAACCAGAATTTGAACTAGGTCTCCTGAATCCAAGTCTGTTTACCATTTTATCTGTGGCACTCATGTACTCTTTGCTTTTTGGTGAGGCAATCAGGGTTAAGTGTCTGAGGTAGGATTTGAATTCAGGTCCTCCTGACTCCAAGGTCAGAGCTCTTCACTGCACCACCTAGCTGCCATGTACTTTTTTTTGCAATAGGGTTAAGTGACTTGCCCAGGGTCACACAGCTAGTAAGTGTTAAGTGTTTGGTCTGAGGCCGGATTTGAACTCAGGTCCTCTTGACTTCAGGGCCAGTGTCTATCCACTGCGCCATCTAGCTGCCCCCCCATGTACTTTTAAACTCAGTGTGTGCCAATTTCTTTGTCTTTTTATTTCCACCAGTCCATACCCCTAATACTGAACACCCAGTTTCAGTCTGTCACCTCAGTAAATTTGGACTATTTGTTGATAAGAGCCTTTGATCAGTATTCCTATCTGTAAAATGGGAATAATAAGGCTACTATCTCACTCAATGTGAACTGATATTACTGATAATAAATGTGTTATTACTGCTTTTACCACTATGGTAGGAGTTCGTTGTTCAGAACATGTATCCTTCCAGGAGAGAAAACTCAATTTACGTTGACTTTTTTTATTGTTGTTTTTCCATCCTTTCTTACCTCAGTTGTGCAAGGCTGAGACAGTCCTTCAACAAGCCAGAAAGAGGAAGCGTACAAGCATTGAGAACGGAGTTCGGGGAAACTTGGAAACCATGTTTCTCCAGTGCCCCAAGCCCACACTTCAGCAGATCAGCAATATTGCTGAAGAGCTGGGACTTGAGAAAGATGTAAGTGCTGCTAACTGTTCCTTAAGAACCTGGAGATTCCCCACTCCCTTCTAGGTTCTGTTCTGGACTCCTTCCATTCTTCCTTCACTGATTCTTTACCATCTCTTTCCCTCATCTCTGACTTCCTGAACCTTTTCACCCTGACCTCCCATCACTGCCACCCATCCATTAATAAATCCATGGATACTCTACAAAGCCTGTCAATCAAAGCCACCCCTTCCTACCTTTTGGTAGGAAGTGAGCTAGAGGTGACCAACTTCAAATGACTCCACTAGAAATATTAGAGAAAGGAGGTTGAAATCTATGCTGAAGAATCATACATCTCTAGCAGTAGAAAGGACCTTGGAGACGAGCTAATCTGACCTCTTCTTACCAAGGAAGAAAATGAGGTATTAGAGCAGTGAACTGACTTGTCCCAGTTCACACAGGGGCAGAGATGAAACAAACCCAGTCTCCTGATGTCTGGTCCAGTGAGTGCTCTTGATAATAAACCAAGTTCTGAGCTCCCTTCCAACTCAGCATTCTATAGTACCATAGCCGGGCAAATACAGGTATTTGTTAGGCACTTATTTTGTTTGTTTGTTTGTTTGTTTGTTTTTAAGGCAATTGGAGTTAAGTGACTTGCCCAGGGTCACACAGCTAGTAAGTGTCAAGTATTTGGTCTGAAGCTGGATTTGAACTCAGGTCCTCCTGACTTCAGGGCCGGTGCTCTATCCACTGCGCCACCTAATTGCTCCTGTTAGGCACTTATTTTGCCAGCATTATTTTAAGGCACTATTAGTATAAGACCAGTAGTGGGATAGGGTCAGTGAGGGATTGATGGTAGAACAGACACATGGGGAGAGAGTCTTGCCCTTGAGAGAGAGGCTTAGAATCTAGTTGAGGAGATAAGCTAAAACCTATGAAACAATGAAAAATATATGGTTTGTCTATAGTTAAATTCAATATACATTCTTTAATAAGTATGATTGCATTGAGTGTTTAAGTTTTATGGTTAAAAACTATTAGTTGTGCTCGGTAGTGAGTGGGATATAGTAGGTTAGGTACTAGAATAGAAGGCAGGAAAGATTGCATGGTAGAAGTGGAGATTTTAAAGTGGGCTCTTAAAAAAGGTTGGGTATATTCATGATGCAGCTAGGTAGCCCAGTGGATAGAGTACTGGGCTTGGAATCAGGAAGATCTCATCTCATTTGAACTTATGTTCAAATCCAGCTTTGGATACTTGATAACTGTGTGACCCTAGGCAAGTCACTTAAAACCCTCTTGCCAAGAAAATCAGTCTGTAACAATCGGACACAACTGAAATGACTCAACAACAGATTGATGATAAACAAGGAAGGATAAAGAAAAGCAAATAGGACAAAGTCATGGAGGCATGCAATGTTTCTGCAATAGATGAAGGCAAGCAGTACAAAATAGAGAGTTATTGTTGACAAAAGGCATGACATTATGGGTAAAAGGAATGTTTGGAGGAAGATTTTCCTGATTTCATGATGGGGATTAGAGAAAGAGCAGACGTAGGAGGTAAGAAAATGGGCTTTAAGTATTTGAAGGGCTTTGATTCAATTATACTTGTTTTTTAGATTGCTTTATTTACGAGTTGGGAGATGAAAGAGATGTGGAACTAACAGACAGCAAACTTCCCAACTTTCCTCCCACCCATTCCCCCCCAAAAATCTGTTTATGAATCTCTGAAATATTGATCCCATCCTTCCCTGTCCCTAAATACTCCCAGGATATAGAGAGCTCAATCGTCCAACTCCCAGACCTTAAAACAATTATTTGTTGGGTTCCTCATCTCTAGTCTCTCACCTCCTCTGCCCAGGGATCGGCTAAGCCCTTCAGCTTGAATGCATGGTAGAGCCCAGAGGGGTAACAGGGAGAGAGGAAAATGCATCCCCCTCTGTGAAAGGAGCTGGGGAATAGAGAGTGGTGAAATGAGGACCCCCATAACTGGGATGACTGAATGGAGGGCCTGGAGCCAGGGGGAAAGGCATAGGTGCCTCAGGGAAGGAGTTAAAAATTACAAGGTAATGGCAACCTAGACCAATGTATGTGAGAGAAGTTACAAAGGAAGAATTGCTCTTGGGTGAGATATAGAAGGAAAGGGATGAAAAGATGATGGCTTGAATTTAGGACCACCATCATAATTCTAGTGACATAAATAGGGAAGTCCAGAGGATGCATTTAAGGGGTAATAAAAGAAATGATGAGGTGATGACGATACATAATATACATGATGAATTTGAGGCAATAGTAGAGACACAGGACATGCTGTAATGCTTCCATAACTTCTTTCCTCTGAGGAATAGCTATTTTCTTCTATGATCACTGACCTACCTCTGCCTTAAGCCCTGCCCATTTCTCAAGATCCTCATTCTTCACTGAAGAAAAGGATGAAGAAGGGTCACCCACAGGCCTAACCAATGTCCTCAAAGTATTTCATCCTTCTTTCAATTGTCTTCAGACTTGTCCTCTCTTCCCCAATCATCCCCACTGCATAAGCATGTCTCTTACTCAACATTTTTCTTTTTCTCTTTCTTACTTATTCTCTCTTCCTTTTCCTAGGTTGTCCGAGTTTGGTTCTGTAACCGGCGTCAGAAGGGCAAGCGCAGCAATAGCAACTCACCCCGTGAAGATTTTGAGGCAGCTGGCTCCTTCTCTGGGGCACCTATGCCTTTCCCCCTAGCTCCAGGCCCTCCATTCAGTCATCCCAGTTATGGGGGCCCTCATTTCACCACTCTCTATTCCCCAGCTCCTTTCACAGAGGGGGATGCATTTTCCTCTCTCCCTGTTACCCCTCTGGGCTCTACCATGCATTCAAGCTGAAGGGCTTAGCCGATCCCTGGGCAGAGGAGGTGAGAGACTAGAGATGAGGAACCCAACAAATAATTGTTTTAAGGTCTGGGAGTTGGACGATTGAGCTCTCTATATCCTGGGAGTATTTAGGGACAGGGAAGGATGGGATCAATATTTCAGAGATTCATAAACAGATTTTTGGGGGGGAATGGGTGGGAGGAAAGTTGGGAAGTTTGCTGTCTGTTAGTTCCACATCTCTTTCATCTCCCAACTCGTAAATAAAGCAATCTAAAAAACAAATATAATTGAATCAAAGCCCTTCAAATATTTAAAGACCTATTTTGGGTGTCCCCTATGTCTCCCTTCAGATTAAACGTTCCTAGCTGCTTCATCCATTCATTATGTAATGTCTAGCATTTATGTAGCACTTTAAGGTCTGCAAAGAGCTTTTTGATTTATTATCTTATTTGAACCTCACAACAACCTGGTAAGGTAATTGCTGTTGTTATTCCAAGAGAAGTTAAATGACTTGCTCTGGGTGTCTAGGTAGAATTCAAACTTGGGTCATCCTGACATATATATTAAGTTGCCTGTGCCGTATAAGATGATCTTAATGTATTTCATCCTCTTGTTCCAAATACAATGGAGTACCACAAACTGAACATTATATACTAGATTTGGTGTGACTAGCACAAAGCTTGCTAGGTTGCCACCAGTGTAGTGGATAGAGTGCTGGGCCTAGAGCTAGGAAGACCCGAGTTCAAATACGGTCTCAGATACTTGCTAGCTGTGTGACTCTGGGCAAGTCACTTAACCTCTGTTTGCCTCAGTTTCTTCATCTGTAAAATGGGAATAATAATAGCACCTACCTCCCAAGGTTACTGTGAGGATCAAGTGAGATCATATTTGTAAAGTATTTAGCATGGTGCCTGGCACTGTTAATGTTAGCTACTACTAAGGTTGTGTGGTAGCTTTTATTTTTTCTCCTGTTGCGTTCCTGTAATTGGTTTATATTGAACTTTGTGGGTTGATAAGATGCCCAGATGCCCAGATCTTTTCCATAAGAATTGTCCTTTGGTCCTGAACTTTAAAGTTGAATTTTTCTTAACTCAGGTGTAGCACTTTATCTTATAGAGTTCAGATCACCTAAGTTCAGAGCCTGGGGTGGGGGGGTCAACCTTACTTTCCTATAACCAATCAGTTGCCAATTTTAAAATTAATTCTGTATCTTTGCTGCACTATTACAGCAGGAGTATTGGATCATGGATCTAGATCTGGAAGGTACTTTTAGACATCTGGTATGGTGCGGGTCCCGTTCCCCCCCCCCATTTTTAATCTATCCTCCATGCACTAAGACCATCTAATTGTGGGCAAGCTACTTAACCTACCAAAGTAATATTACTAAGGCACAGGTTTTAGTATGTCATTCCTTGTTCTCCCTATTAATTCTAGAGTCAAATACAAACTGCACTTGCATTGAAATTCCTTTACAATCTGATTTTAGCCTTAAAACTTTCCGCTATGATCCAGCCAGATTAGCTTTCTTGTTCTCTGACATACAACATGCCATCTCCCACTTTCATGCATTTTCACATGCCTTTCACACACTCCTCCTTCCCCTTGATTTTTAGAATCTCTAGTTTCAAAGCTTAGCTGAAACTTTATATAATAAGATCGTTTCTGATTTTTACTAGGTGCTTTAGGAAGGAATCGAGTGAAAACAGGATGCTTTAATCTACGTTCAGACTATAGTTCTTTCTCTGTATGCAGAGAGCATTTTCCATCATGAATCTTCTGGAATTTAGACATTGTATTTTGAATATATCATGTAAAATGGAAGGACTTTTTGTTCTCTGTCCAGTGCAAAAGATTTATTAGGAAATCTTGACACTGTCCCAAGACAGTTGTGCTTGTAGGGGAGGTAGAGCACTAAAAAGAATAAACGGGGAAAGGCAGCTGGATTGGATGAAAAGGTATAAAGAGGAGACCTGTGTGTCAGGTTTTGAGGGTACAGAGGGATACAAAGTATCTAAAGGTGTGGGTGCAGATACCAGAGTCCTGGGAGAAAACTTAAGCCCAATAAAGAGGACATTAATACCTGCTGGCCTACTCTGCCAACTATACAAGGGCATCCTTACTGAGGGAAAAATAAAGATGAGTAGTCTGTTGCAAGCAATAATCTACACCATATCTTTACCATTTCACAATTAACTGAGTAACAGGATATAGGAACACTATACTTATTCAAATTGATACAGTAGTGTAAAAACCCCAAAGCGTTCCCTTATAAGCTCTTTTTCAAAATTCCCTGAGAGATATAACAACTGTTCAACAATGCTTGTTCGCCACTGTGATGGAGGAGGTGCAGCAGAAAGTCCCGTGTTGAAGAGGAATTCTCTATGGATACTGAATTCCTCTAGAGGGTGCCATTGGTAGATGGCTTTGTTCTCAAATCTCAGAATATTGCAAATATTCTAAGCTCAGTGGAAAATTAATAGTAACTCAAAACTTTGGCTTTTACCTTCACAGAAAAGATCAAGTGGCTATATCAAGAATATCTATTGTCAAATTACAATGTTCACTTGTGTGGACCGTTGCAAGGCAAGCAAAGACCTGGGGGTTTTTTTGTATTTTTTTTATTATACCAACATTCTTCTAATGTTACTGCAGGGCAATGAGATAAAGAATACAATGGACTGTAGGATTAAAAATGAATATAATGCAAAGGTGATGAAGAGGTGGGGTGGATGAGAGTAGGCTGAAGCATAACCAATGGGTAACTCCAGGGAGTAAAAGACCACAAAGAATTGCATGAAGGAAACAGAAGATGCGCAAAGGATAACAGGTGGAGCCAGTGCTCCACTTGGTATCCTTGAGATAAGAGAAATTAAAGGCCGCAGCAAGCTGAGTGGACTCTTGTAAAGGACTAAAGGGAACACATTAAAAGAGTCACATAAGATGGGCAGTGTTGGAAAGAATTTCTAAATTTATGGGATTGCAGATCCATTTTATTTTTTAAAATTGTTTATATTCTTTTATGTATACGTATGGCCTCCCCTTATAGAATGTAAACTTTTTGAGGGTAGGGACTGTTTCATTTATGTCTTTGTAACCTCTGAGCTTAACACAGTGACTGACACAGCTGATAAATGCTTGTTGATTGATTATCCACAGGGCCACAGTGGAAGGGGCAAATTAAAAGGGCTTAGGCTCAAATCTTTTAGCAAATAATTTACCGTCTTCTAGGTTTCAGTTTTGCTATCTGTAAAATAAGATTTGGATTCGCTAATTTCTGCATTTTCTTCCATGCTGTAAATGTTTAACACTTGATTCTCTGAAAGACAAAGATTACACATGATGCACTTTTAAGTTTAATCTGCATCATTGACGTTTTCTCCCTCACTTAAGTTTAGACAATCAGCAAAGCAATAAGATATATCAAGTCTTGCTGTTAGTTTCTGAGGTATAAATACACACACTGAAAATTTAACTAGTGACTCTCAGTCTGTTCTAGCTGATTGCAGCACAATCATTCTTCCAACTCTAAATCTTAGATTCTATTATAACAGGAAGGGGGAGGGCCTGCATACCTGTGATTTGGTATAAGGTACTCCCTGTGTAAAAAATTCCCTCTACAGATGTAGATTAGCAATTTTCTTTCTGCTCCTAGAATTAGCCTGAAGCACTGAGATGTTTAGTTACTTGCCTTGGTCACATAGCCAAGTTGCTCATCCTTTGTGTTTGAAGGGGTGTTGTGAGTGAATTGGATTTACATGAGGCACAACCAGTATGTGTCAGAGAACTGGAACCCAGGTCTTGACTTTAAGAGCAGCATTCTGTCTGCTACACCACTCTGTCTCAAAGGGCTTACTAAAATCCAGGTATATTTGCTGTTAATGGTCTAAAAACTTGCTCAGCATCACACAGGTAGCAAGTAACAGGGCTAGGGTTTGAACTCACATCCTTTGACTTCAAATCCAACACTTTCTATTGTATCACATTGCTTATTCCTATTGGATGGATTCTATAGTTCCTTCTATGTCCTCCCCTAAATTTCAATTAATTATAGGTTTGGAAGAAAAGATAATAAGCTTAATTTTGTCAATGAGTTTGAGACACTGGGAGGATACCCAAGCGTCATTCAAACCACTGGAAATATAGGTCAAGGGGCAGGATTAGAGAGACTGATTTGGATATCATAAGTTTATAGGTGATACTCTGAAGCACAGGTTTGGGGTAAATGAGGTTGCCTAGAGAGAGCACATAGAGTGAAGAAGCCTAAGAACAGAACTTTGTGAAAGACTTAGCTTAAAGAATTATGATCAAGAAAAGAAGAAAAATGGAGGAATAAGAGAACTGGGATGGTGTGGTGTCTGAGAAGCCAAGAGAAGAAAATATCCAGGAGCTGATAGTCAAATAGTATCAAAAACTGCAGAGAGGCCAAGGACTGGGGCGGGGGGGGGGGGGGGGGGGGGGG